AGACAGACAGACAGGCAGACAGACTTATTAGTGACATGTATATTTGTAGGGTGTAATAACAATGTAGGTGTACCTACCTTCTTTTCTATGTTTGTTTCATGGCAAAGTGTAATGCGTAGCTGAATTCCTGGGAATACGTGAGAGACTATTTGATTGCCAACCACCAGATGTGGAATGGGTGCTTTCAATTGTACTGCTTCTCTTGCAAGCTGCAATCAAAAATCATATTACAAAAGAATTTTCATGAGCCACAGGAAATAGTAAGAAAATGTATCAGTGGATATATAAAATTTTACCTGGGCAAAAAGCTCTTTACAAAACAAGACAGTCTGTGCAGCTTCCAACTTTTCCTGCCAAAGCGACTCACTAGGCACTCTACCTCTGAGACAGTGGAACAGTCCAGCTTGAGCAAGGTCTGTTCCTTCTAAAAATTATATATATAAAATTAGTAAATACATAACAGTATAACTGTCAAATAATATGATGCACATAGATGACTTTATTTCTTGTCTGTGCGTATCAACCAATCTGGTCTAAATGATCACACATTTACTGAATGTACATTTGTAAGTGACAAGATTCAAATGGATATAGTTTTTGATAAAGCAGACTACAAGTTTTATAAAGTGAAATGGCCACCAGATGGCCATTTTGCCATATTTATTTGACCTGCACTGTATAAAATGTGCCTGACATTTCTTACATACAGCAGGACACAGTTATTAAATTCTGTAATGACTTGTATATGTGCACTATATAAAGTCTGCATCAAATCTTACAAGCAAGACTACATTAGAAACATGATTACAGACATATCACAGCTGAGTACAATTCATAATAATAATTGTACTGAAAACTGAGGTTATCAATAAATCTAAACATACCTGGTTGGACACACACATGTATGTAACTTTTCCCTTCCAAATCACTTGGTACTGTAATTTCTAATGGATATTTTTGCCCTGGTGTGGCGCCATTCTCAATTGCTTTGCTCACTTCAAATGCTCCAGTGTGCCAAAACCTAGAACCAGCTAGAAAACAATAATAAAATCAGAGTTATCTTCAAGTTGGTAATATCAGATTTCAAAATGTTCACAAATAGAAATAAAAAAATCTAAAAAATACATATTTGTTAATTTCTCCACTGATACATTCATAGCAATTGATTTTTATTTGTGACTCATTACCTCAGTCAATAATTACAATGCATCATTTTTCAATATCTTTGGAAGAAAATATAACATTGGCTGCATAAACATTTTTGAAAAACAGAGAGACAGGAGCTGTTTAAAACATTACAACATTAATGTGGATTAGTATGTTGAAACAATTCTGTTTGATAAAATATCTTGATTTAGTGTATCAACAATAGCACTTCTCACTGCAGTCTTGCTTACCTGTTTTAAAACTGAGGTCACCTATGATATTCTTACCAACCCTTTTCAGTCTCCAATTCTGATGCAGCTTTAATAACTCAACATGGAAGTCATGTTTATTGCTTTTTAGACTTCCAGAAACAACTTGTGACTTAAATAGTCTGCCTGCACCTTCAACCAGAATCTGTGCAGCTCCAGAAAGACTCTGAAAATAAACATTCAAGGTATGGGTCTGTTATTTTGATAAACAAATCTTTACTCCTTGCTATTTGTATTATATATTCTATTTAGGTCAAGTGCAAGGCAACTGATCAGTTCAATCTGACCTGACAGATTTTTGTGTTTATGTTTATAATTCTGATCTTTTCTTAGATACTGGCACATATTTGCTATGTGACAAAACACTGGATATGTGTCCTGTTAATGGCTACATTGATAAAAACAGGTACACAATTTGTTACAGATGAATGTCTTCAGAAAACACATACTACCCCCCCCCCACCCCACACCTAACATTGACAAATACATACAAATTAGTTTCAATGATTAGCTAAACACTAGTTTTTAACCTACCCGCTTCTTTGCTAAGAGTTGTAAAGCTGGTTTTGAAATGGCTTCCTCTTGGGATACTTCATCCAGTACCATATACCGTGTCTCTTTGGCGATGCTTAGTACATCAGCTAGAACACATACTTCAGTGAAAGCATTCCTGGATGGAAATGAGAGCAAAACAAAGCATCATAATTATCACATACCAGATTTGGTTTGTAAGTTTTGCAGGAGAACTGATATATTTTTTTCAATACATGTGTATATATATATATATACCCCTTCTGAGGAAACCTATAGGTATCTAGAGGCAACATGTACAATTGAAGTGGAGGGCTAGGGTTAAGATTAGGGTTAGGGGTGGTGCTGTAAAAAAAACCTTGACAATGCAGTTGAAGATAAAATAGCTGTTAACACATTGTTGTCCTTCATTTCTAAGTCTGTAAGTGGGTCTGACCTGCTGACAGGAAATGAT